AATGCCGGCTAGGTCGCCCCCCATGCCGCGCGGCTACACGCGGCACAGACTAGCTAGGCTTCCTATCCGAACTAGCTGTACGCCTAATCCGAACTAGCTAGTCCGTGCCGCATGTAGCTGCGCGGCACGGGGTCCGACCTAGCCGGCATTTAAAAATGGCACCGGCCAGCTTTATGCAAATGAAGCCCGGGAAATTCAAATCCCGGGCTTCATTTGCAACTCTGTATGACTACATTACCCCCCCTAGTTCGAACTAGGGGGTTAGTGTAGACATAACCTCATACACAAGGTTTTCTGGGGGCATTGCTGAGAAGGTCCAATCAGGGAGAATTGCTTATACACAACTGTGTTGGGGTGGCTGCCCCACACTGGTCCTTTAAGGCAGTGTTTCTTAAGCTTTTTGAGACAACGGCACACCAAACAATAATATTTTTTATGAGGAACACCTATGAACATTTTCTTCAACAAAGAAATTGTTGTCAGACAAAAAAAACAACCCCAAAAAACAAAAACAAAGAAGAGGTCGCAGCACACCTGTGAGTTGTTCATGGAACACTAGTGTTCTGTGGAACATAGTTTAGGAAACACTGCTTTAAGGGTTAAAACCCAGCCCTGGCAGAGGGCTGGAGAGGTGGAGCCAGCAGCTGCAGCTGATAGCAGCCAATTAGGGCCCAGCTGAGGGCAGTATAAATAAAGGCTTCTGGAGAGGAGACGACAGACACACTCTTACTCTTGCTGTGGAGCAGGAGGAACCTGGCTGTCAGGGCAGCTAGAAGCTTCCTAAGACAGAGCAGAGCTGAGGAAAGGTAGGCAGAGCTGAAAAGCTTCAGTCAGGCAAGCTCCCAGGCTGAAAGGCCTGAAGCAAGGCCTTAGGGTACAAGGGCTTCAGAGAGGCAGCCAAGGTAGGCTAAGGCAACAGGTCTACACTGCCTTGCCAATGATGAGTGGTCATTTCAGATTGCAGTTTGCCCCAAAGGTAAAGGGCTAGATGAAGACTGGCAGTGGGTCACTGAGGCAAGGTGGGTACAGGGGAGTTAGGGGTTCCCAGAGGGGGAGGACTCCAAAGTGTGGGGGTGCTACGGTAGGGCAGTACCCAGGTAGGAGGGCACCACAGTCTGGAAGAGTCATGTGCCCTGACAGAATGGAGAACAAGTAACAGTGGTGAGACATCAGCCAGAAGAGAATGCTCCAGCACCAAAAAGCTAATTACCAAGACCAATTTATAACTCGAATCCTACCCCAAAAAGCATGCTGTTAGCCAATCTTTTAGAATCTAAAGAAAGAAAGAATTGTTAAAGGAATCAAATACATACAGTGACTGCAAAGTTCTTGGGGCAGGATTGCAGCAGAGATGGAATAATCTTCTGTCTTAAATCAAGTCCCTGAAATCATCCATTTTTAGGATGGGTCATCAGTTCTTTCAAGCTTTAGTTCATAGCAAAGATGCTCCATAGGTAACGAGCCAAATTGAAGATAAATGGAGGAGCCTCCAGGGCCCTTTTTATAACCTTGCTCGGGTGGAGGGACATTGATCTTGCTATGTGACAGTATGTCCTAAGATGGAGGTTGTCACATGAGAAAGTCATCTGTCCATGTAGGACTCGGTCGTTTTTAGGCAAACAACATGACCCACATTTCAGATTGAAGGTTGCAAAAAAAGTCCATTCAGTGTAGTTGGGTGCCTCCCAGGCTTTATTTTTCATTACATGTTTCTTCATGGGCTAATCAACCTGACAGCCTTCTCAGACATGCTGGATAGCTACTTTATGGATGTTATCCAGGTACTGGCATTTGAAATACAGACATACAACTAGGCTACGTCTAGACTGGCCACAAATTCTGGAAAAGGGATGCAAATCAGGTAAGTCAGCATAGGGAAATCCGCAGGGGATTTAAATATCATCCGCGGATTTAAATAAACATGTCCGCCGCTTTTTTTCCGGCTTGGGGAAAAGCCGGAAAAAAAGCGTCTAGACTGGCGCGATCCTCCGGAATAAAGCCCTTTTCCGGAGGATCTCTTATTCCTACTGAAATCTGAAAGTAGGAATAAGAGATCCTCCGGAAAAGGGCTTTATTCCGGAGGATCGCGCCAGTCTAGACGCTTTTTTTCTGGCTTTTCCCCAAGCCGGAAAAAAAGCGGCGGACATGTTTATTTAAATCCGCGGGGATATTTAAATCCCCTGTGGATTTCCCTATGCTGACATACCTGATTTGCATCCCTTTTCCGGAATTTGTGGCCAGTCTAGATATAGCTCTAATGTTCATATCTTCAGTTACAAAAACGATAATTGCACACAAGTGTGGATGGCAGAACAAGGAACAATGGTCTCAA